TCTTTCCCTTCTTGTGTTGTTTTCATATGTCCCCCAGGTTTTTTCACAGCATCTCTGAGGGCTGATTGTGGAAATGTGACCAATTCATCATAGCTGACAGTCTGTGTGCTCACAAGCCACACACACACACACACACACTCACATCGTCATCATCATTTGTAACTGCACATTTGGTGTTTGTTTGTGATTGACAAAGTTTGGCTTTAGTTGGTGGTACCTATGGAAAGTCCTGTAAGACAGGGATAACTGTTGTTTGTGGTGTTTGCATGAATGTGTGTGTCTGGGCTTGTTGTGGGGACATGAATCTGTGCAGTCACATTTTGGGGACTCACCTGCCTTTTGGGGCCGAAAGCAAGTCCCCATAAAGTATTACATTTTAATGTTAGGCCACAGTTAGGTCTAGGCTAATGTTAGGATTAGCCAAGTAGCAGTTATGGTTATATGTTGGCAAGTCTCTGAGAATCAAGTGATGGAAACATGACTATATGGGTGTGGGATTGCAGGTACTTTGTTAATAATTTGTAAATCCCACAAGATGCCATGCAGGCGACCATTGCATGCAGGGCCTGTCAGTCACCTACCTCTTCATCACACACAAACAAAGTCATGCAGGTGCAAGTGCATAGTGATCCAACCACAACGCCCTTCCCCTTGAGGCTGATTAGTATTCATAAGATCTCAGGAGCCCCCTCTTACACCCCCACCCCCACCCAACCCACCCCATACACACACAAACACATACACATATTCTGGTGGATTGGTCCATTCTAATTATCTCCTGGCGTTTATGGAGAGGGCTGATTAGAAGCTGTCAGTGTGACTGATGATGACATGCCATGTTGTCCCCCAGAGAGAGGCAGAGCGACAGAGAGGAAGGCTGGTCACAGCTGTGGACTCCACTACTTCTCTGTCCCCATCTCCCTATATTTTATGTCTTCCTTCCTTGTACTTCTGCCTCACTAACAGCTGCTTTGTTATGTGCCTCTCTAGGTAAGCCAGTGATGATCATAACAGAGTTCATGGAAAATGGATCTCTGGACACTTTCCTCAAGGTGAGTCACGGCTCAGCTGGAATGAACACTGCACTCACATTTGCCCCAAGGACGGGGCCATAAGTCTTTACAAAGGCCATGTGAAAAATGTAAAGTGTTTGAGATTGTAGAGTCCATTCCCCCAAATTGCTGGGCTGAGGGTACATTCTTTAAAAAAACACAAGGTACTCCGGTGGAGAATTCAGTCTCTTTAACTGGGACTTAAGTTTAATTCTTCGAGGACTTACGTTAACAAGTATCCTTTAAAATAAGCAATACTGTTTCTGCTTTAAACAGGTTTTGAACCACAGTTTGTATATGTAATCATCACATAAAGAGGGAATCTAAACTTTTACCTACATACACTGTTCAAAATCTCACATTCACACACATACATAGACGTTTACTTTAGCAGAAGAAAATATGACGAGAACAAACATTTAGGTGGATATGTGGCCTCTCCACACTTTCATTATATGATGTTTGATACCGAAGCTATGAAATATGTTTGGTGTCCATATCTCAGAGCAGAGACGGCATCAAACTGCTGACAAATAGACAATAAAAGAAAGAAAGTGATTTGCTTTATGTGCAGTGTTTGCACCATCAGGGAATACAAAAATGAACAGTTCATTTCAAATGTAATGTGAAGTCATACTATATGGTCTTTAACCCTGGCCTGAGAGACAGATGGAAAGCCCTCCAAAATGCCTAAAGAAATAAGCATTATTATGAATAAACACAGAAATACAGTTACCAGAATTAGCTCTAGAGACATTTGTTATGATAATCAAGACTCTAAAAATGATTTCACTAATGATGCCAGTTTTAAAAAAAAACTATACATAGAGCAAGTGATGGAGCAGAGTCTAAATTCATGCCAGATGATTGCATAGTCCTGATATGCAGCTTTTACTCAAGGTTATTACTGCACCTCTTATCAGTGAACAGATTTAAAAATGAAAGAAGGCTCTGGAAGTATTCCCTCATGATTGAAAGTGATGTTATGACAAGAGTCAGAAGAAACTGTCAAGATTATTATATGAATTGATGTTTTTAAAAGATTTATCCTTCCACTGAAACATACTACAAACCTGCAGACATTAAATGTATCTAAGAAATATGCATGTTTTCTCAAAACTCATAGGAGGTTTTGAAGTATTTCTTAACATACATTCACAAAGGGCTCTCCATTTAATGACAGTTGCAAAGGATCAAGGATACTTTAGTGTAAAAATTGACAAATGTGTGAAGCATGACTCCTGTTCATGCAAAATAGGTAGCAGAAGTGCCAAACATACAGTATTGATTTAACTAAGCATCCTTGAATTGGCTTTTGCACACACCCAGAAGAACAGATTGTTGTAGCGCTGGTGTGCAGCCCCCTGATTCATATTCAGAGTTGTTTGTCAGCCAGTAAAATCACTGCGCTGCTCCAAAGCCATTAAGCCTGTGATGATGGGCCCGTCGTTAAATAGACACCAATCCCATCAGCAACACTGAAGCAAAATGAAATGAAATCTGACAAACAAAAAATGGCTGAAGCATAATGTCCTGGAACTTACACACACACACACAGTCACACTCATATGCAGGTACATCATGTTGTGTGATACAGTATGTATCGTAATGAGGATCATAAAGAGTATCCGCAGTGGCTCAATATAATTATGGAATCACTTTTATGTGTTTTACAGCTCATCCGTGCTTCTGGTATCCATATGTGTCTTTAATTATGCTGATCATTTATTAAGCAGCTATCCCACAGAAAATAACAAAAACACTGTTCTGACAGAGAACTTCAACCTCTGTATGTCAATATATTTATCAGTCACATCTATCTTTTCCTTTTTTCTTGATGTTTTTCCCTTGAAGCTTTGATATAAAAAGTCATATGCCAGAATTTGCCAAAAGATGTCTCATTTTCCACTTTTCTCATTTGTCTCCTTCACCTCCTTGTCAAAAGCCTTTGCCCTGCATTTGTTTCCTCTCCCTTTCCCTGCTCTGCCCACCCATCCTCCTCCTTCCTGGCAGAGGAGTGCGGTGGGCAGATTGATAGAGGAAGTCTGTAGGTTTGTTAGACAGTCCAATCAATCAGCATCTCACAAAACCACCAGCTAATTAACTTACTCCACAGCTGCCGAGGGAGAGAAAGAATGACAGAGGAAGGGGGGGGGGGTGGTTGTTGCCCAGATGCAGAAAGATGAAGGAAGACAGATAGATAGATGAGACTGAATCAAAGTAATACAGAGTTCACTCTCTTTGAGACAGAGACTGAAGAGAGACAGCGATGGATGGAGAGAACAAAGAGTAAAAGGGAAGGAGAGATGATATTAAAGGGGGATGCTTTAGAGGAGGAGGGTGACTGATAATGTGGATGGCTTTTTAACGGGGACTGCTGGCCCAGGGCAGAAAGAACTGGCAGACGAAGGTGAGCTGGACCACCATCGATCAACAGGCTCTGGTCTCTGCCAAAGACAGGCTCAAATCTGAAATCCAGTGGGCACCCGATCAGCGTTAGAGGTGAAAGTTTTGTCTGCTCTCTCAGATCCAATCTTCTGCTAGTGGAATTTTTTGTGATCTCTCACTGATCCCTGGAAGGAGCAATTTGTCTTTTGCTTGCCATCCTCCCAAGGGAGGTCAAACCGCAGGGGCTGGAAGGGATTCAAGGGCTTGCTCAGGGACACTTCAGAAACATGGATTGCTGCCATCACAGATTTTTGAATTCTGGCTTGAACCCTTAGTTTCAGCTGAGGCTGAAGAAGGACCCAGCACTAATCACTTTTGCAGCCTAATGCCAGCATTTACACTGTGTTCTGTGTATTAATTAATTTTTCTTTTTGTCTCTCCCTCCAGAAACATGATGGCCAGTTCACAGTGATCCAGCTGGTCGGCATGCTGCGCGGCATCGCCTCAGGTATGAAGTACCTGTCAGACATGAGCTACGTTCACAGAGACCTGGCAGCTCGAAACATCCTGGTCAACAGCAATCTGGTGTGCAAGGTGTCAGACTTTGGCCTGAGCCGAGTTCTGGAGGACGACCCGGAGGCTGCCTACACTACAAGGGTAAAACACTTTCACAAGCTGCGGCTGTCTTAAATTGAATCTCCAATTTATCTGCAATTACAGTTCATCCACCCACCGACCACTACATTATTGGTCCTAATCCAAAGCAGTCCAGTGGAATACCTATTTAAACCACATGTGCATAAATTAATTTTCAACTAAAAAGACCTGCTCCAAAGGGGGCCCCAAAAGAATCAGTAAAAGAAATATACCCATGGATAATTAATGCAGTCAACCTAAACAGATCCAAATAGAGAGAGAGAACACTAACCCTGCCAGAAGAAAGATGTATGACCAATTATCAAACACCGGGGGTATTAGCTATACAAAGCTGAAAGCAGATTAGATTAGACAATATATTAAATTAAAAATTTATTGTGTCCCAGGATAGGTATCCACCAACCAGCAGAGTTCTTGCTCCACTCAATTTACACAATTATTTAAATTTGATCCAGACTTACAACTGTTATCATTTTGGTCATGCAGCTGTTATTCTGTCATCAATTTAAGTTTTGATATTTCTTAAGGTGAGGTTAGTTGTTTAAGACTTCAAATATACAGTATGTGGCTTAAGGTAGCACTAGCATGAAACTCCAAATCAACCCACTCTGCGCCGACCAGCTCCCTGCTCCACTGTGCTCTACTACAATCTGCTACTCTCCACCATCCTCTGTCAAGCTCTTCAGATATTAGTCCTTATGAAACTACAGTAAATGAAAATGCAACAAAAATTACTGATCAAGCAGAAATAATTGAAAATCTGAAATGGTTAGAGAGGTCAGTCTTGCTCAAAACCTTTTAGAAGCTAATGTCTCTGCATTGCTGCCACTGCTGTTCATTGAGTCTGGGTCACAGGAGGCCTTGACAGCACATCTCCGCATTAAGACAGGTTTTGGAGCAAAGTTCTACAACAAAATATTTGAAAAAAGTTAGATCTAATACCTCTACTGTTTGCTCCAGTGTTTTTTGGAGATGCTTTTCAAATAAGATGAACCAGCCTTCTTGCCATTCAAACTGATTATCATCACGACAGAAAACAGCCCTAACTCAATGGTGCTGATACTTCTGCAGCATTTGGAATAAAAGATATACTGACTTTTGTAATATGTTGTAAATATATGTGTTTTAGAGTTGAAAACTAATATTTCTTAGTCCCAAACTGGTCAATCTGTAAGTAAGGTTAATGTTGATAATTTGCTTTGGACAGTTTATGCTGCAAAATGCAATGCCTCTGTTTTGGCTAACTTTGTGGCTCCTTAAATGTGCACAGCATGCCTCACATGAATGAATGGCAGCAGTGTTGTGATATTAAATGAGGTTCTATTTTGTATATTGTAACTACATAACAGTGTATCTGTTGACTGCATCTCACATCAGCATATGACAACTCGACTTCATTCAGGTGGACCTTGTCATTAGGAATGCTGTTACCCCAGTTGCTGATAGAGCATATTCTCATATTCAAGTTAGAATTTGCTGCACTCTGTATTAAACTTATCTGTAGAAAGCATTCCTGTAATGACTGAACAAAGGTGTAAGATTATAACATATTATCACCCAGTGCAGTCACACACACAGGATGAATGCATGCACACAAACTCCTCTTCATTTCATGGTTTTGCCTGTGTATATCAAAGAAATGTTTGGTAACATCACCAACGTCTCACAGCGCTTTGAGAGAATGAAGAAACTCAAATGTCAGTGAGTTAAACCACTGTGGAGTAACTCATCTAAAATGCCCACAAGGAGATAGCATTATTCATATTCATAGGAAGTGTTGGGGATGTTATTTTTAATATGGCATTAGCATTGCCCTGGGAGGAGTGTATCTGCCGTTGACTGCTCTATTGCAATCACACATACTCCCACTGATGTCAGGAGACCTAGATGGAAAGCTGCAGGCATGATGGGGGGGGGGAGGTGGAGATGGGGAAGAGAGAGAGGGTGAGGGAGGAGTGGATATAAAATAAGACTGAGATCTTGGGAGGCTGAAAGAAAGAGAGATGGAATAAGGGAAGACAGAGGAAGCATCCAGTGAGAGCAGTTAAGAGAGAGAGAGAAAAAGTTGGGGTAGGGGTGGACAGGGGGTGGTGGAACTAGAAGTACAGTGCTGAGTGACTTGGCTTCTTTGTCTTTTATTTGACTTTGACCAAGCAGAGATGGGGAATGCTAGGTGGTGCAGAGGCAGCTGCCGCATGTTAAAAAGCTGAACCAAGCCCTATAGAGGTACACTGAGAGAGAGAGGGTGGGAGTGTCTCACTGCATATTGCAGTGCATCTATACAGTGGGCTTTATGGAATCCTTGTGATCTATATATCAACAATAAAGCCAGGAGCAGGATAAAGAAAAGGAATTTGATAGCAAAAGAAAGTCAAGTGCAAAAAACACTGAAGCAAAAGTAATATTATTTTATGAGCATATTAAAGAGGAGTGCTGTTCTCTGGCAGTGCTGCAGTAGGCTTCTCTGCAGGTACCATCTTGGAATATGTTTTGTCAGCTCTAATTTTGATTTATTATAGCTCTTAGCTAGAAATGTACTAATAAACAATCTTTAAATATTTACACTATTACAGACATGGTAAAACAACAAGTTCAGGTTGACAGATTCAGCATGCGCCAAGAATGTGTTAACTGTGTTGTGAACCATCCCCAGGGAGGAAAGATCCCCATCAGATGGACAGCTCCAGAGGCCATTGCGTACAGGAAGTTCACCTCAGCCAGTGATGTGTGGAGTTACGGCATTGTCATGTGGGAGGTGATTTCATATGGAGAGAGACCCTACTGGGAGATGTCCAATCAGGATGTGAGTCACAAACACTTATATCATCCACCAGCTCCAGTGTTAACCGGTGCTTGCATGACTAAAGATCTGTTTTTTCCTCCAGCTTGAGCTCAATTTTTAACTATGAAAACAAATTTTTCTAGAAATTTTTACTTGCCTTTCTTGTATTAATCACAGAACTTGATATGTGCGCCTCTTCTGCCTGTAGGTAATCAAAGCAATAGATGAAGGCTACCGTCTTCCCGCTCCAATGGACTGTCCTATGGTGTTGCACCAGCTGATGTTGGACTGCTGGGAGAAGGGACGCAGTGACAGGCCAAAGTTTGGACAGATTGTCACAATACTGGATAAGCTCATCAGAAACCCAGCAAGCCTCAGAGATTTGGCCAACAGCTCAGTATGGTCAGTGGAAGAAAGCTATCAATGACACTTTAATTGGAAAGTATATTGTATAGCACTGTATGGAGGTGCATTTTATATGCAAGTGCAGATGCAATTAGTCCTGTGTAAAGCATGGCTCGGTCAACCTATTTCTGTCCAAACCTGACCCAGACCTGCCAAACTTATAGTATATAATGTCCAAACCCAACCTGAGCCCAATGCCAATGAGTTTGAATGTTGTTTTTCCCCTTATCTTTAAACAAAGTAGACAATTGAGTGTCCCAGCCGTCTAGCCTAAATTTTGACCTACGTGACTGAACCCAACCTGGACCCAAACATAATTTCCAAATTTCTGTCTGAACCCTCAGGTACCAATGGGTCCTGTCCAAGCAGCAACCTTTGCGTCTGAGAACTGAAGCCAATGCACAAGTGTTTAAACTTGCAGTTCCTCAAATGGTCACTTGAAGCTGGCTCAAAATGTCCTCCCGTGTTAAATTATCCAACTTTACAGCAGAAATAACAACTGTATTGGAGATTAATTTTTATATAACTCACCTATTAAGGGTGTGGATGCTTTGAGTGACAGGCTTGAGGGCCCTGCTGTAGGTGGCTAGCTGTCTAGCAAGCTCCACTCACGCTCCACCTCTTTGTCCATTTTTGGATTAACCATAGCAGGTGAAGTGAAGCACTACTGATATGGCGATGGCTAGACTTGAGCTTTAAAACTGCTCTTCAGAAAACAAGTTGGGTTTGTCCATCTTTATATATGGTCAGTGGTTCTGTCAAGCTCAGTTTGTGTATCCACAGTTTAGTCCTGTGTAGACAATGTATTGAACTTAGTTTGAACATGCAAATAAATAAACAAGCACACAGATGATTTATAACAGTTTATAACAAAAAAAAAAGCAATCAAGCAAATCAAAGGGTTTCAAACCTTGTATGTGTGTGTTGAGGGGGCAACAATGAGATAAATCCTTTATCATACTTATCCACTAATGGGAACATTTAAAGTTTAGGGTTTATGTTTTCCTTTCAAAGTGTAAAAGCGTATCTGAGACTCTCATGCTATACCTGTTGCAGTATTCATTCATTCATTCATTTTCTTCCGCTTATCCGGGACCGGGTCGCGGGGGCAGCAGTCTAAGCAAAGATGCCCAGACTTCCC